TAGAGTTCTAAGCTCCTTTATTCAGCATAAATTCGTAAAATATATGAATCAAAACAAGAAAATCTACACGCTCCAACACTTGAAATACTGGGAATGTGAAACCAAAAATCTAAACACTAAAATGTACAAGATAAGATCTACTTGGATTTATAAAGTCGAAATGCGTCGTTTCTTTATCCAAATAAACTTTTTTGGCTTCTAGCGAGTTACAGAGGTCGATACAACCGAAACCGGTTTGCTACACCTTATCAGCACTATCGACATATTTTCTGTGGATCTGCTGCAGCGTCTCAACCACCATCTTGAACCCGTCCAGCTGCTGCTGATAGCCCAGCTTCCTCAGCGAATTCCTCACCATCATCGCAGCAGCCGCCGGGACGCCGTCGTCGTCACTCCGCCTTGAACTCTTGTCCACGAGATGGCGCTCGGAGGTGCTATTTCTCCTCATTCTCTTCCTCTTCCTCTTCTTCTGTGTAGACTTCGACACCTCGACCGTCCCTGCTGGAACAGGCGGAGGACGCTCATCCTCCGAAGTCGTCTCGGAGTAAGTCGACGAGAGGGGCAACTTGCACTCGTGTTGGGGGTAGAATGGCTCGGGAGGAGACATGTTTGGGGCTTATGGAGAGCTCTGTAAAATTACAGTAAGAAAAAGTAAGTAAAACTGAAACAAAAAATAACACAAATTTGATGTGGTCTTGTGTTTGGTTATCACTTGATTCAAACAGAGTTGGACGTCATTTCTTAACATCAATGATTATATAAATGATTTAAGATATTAATCGTAACGTACATACCGGAGCTAAAGATATCACACTCCTCTGTACTTCACAACGTCAACTGATTACAAAGGCAAGAAAATACGTATATGTAGAATGGAACCGAGGCAGACATTGTGACACTCTGGGAAAAGGCAACAAGGGAAGGTGGGGAGACTTAGGAGGATGGGAAAGCCCCTCTCCTTGTCCTTCCTTGTTTGCATACCGCTCTTGTTCACTGCCTCCCCTCGTCCCTAATCCTCATTTACTCTGTACTTCCATGTTTGCCATCTTTAACGAATCCCAATACTGAAATTCATTGAAAAAACATTAGATAGTTGTGAATGGGATAATATATACTCGAATGTTGTATTATATAATAATTTTATCGAGGTTTAATAGGTATTATGTGAATTAGATTTTCGTTATTACAATGTGTACTATTATCTTTAGGTGATTTAAACATCGGATATGAATACACTGAATCATTATCCAAATAATAATAATCTTTTTGAATTCTAAAATAAAAGAAAGAAAGTTGAATAATCTCTATAGCCCTATGCAAAACCATTTCCAGCATTCAAGAACCAGTGTATTCTTGAGTTTCCCATGTGCTTCTTTGTTGACAAGCCGTGACCTTTGACCTAGATTTGGGATTACACCAGAAACACAGAACTTTTGGGTAATTTCTGATAGGAGAGAAAATGTTTTGGCGTGTTTCTTTTTACTATCAATGTATCTTTTATAATTTTCATTAGTACTGCTATATCTTTTTTATATTAATCATGGTAATAGCGATAAGAATGATAAGTACAGAGAAAGAGAGCGATTGGAAACAATGATTAACAAAGAGACATATATTCACGTTTAGTTTTGAATTAAATAACACAAAAACTTTTTTCTTTTCCTTCCGCTATTGCTTTTATTGTTATATTTGTTGTTATCATATCAACGCATTATTTCCATTACCGTTTTACGATATCGGGAAACGTGAGATTACGAAATTAATGTTGCAAAATGTTGTTAGGTTACTTGTGAGTTTAGCACATATAAAATTTATTATTTATGTTTACTATATCAATTTATATTTGTAAAAGTTCTATATGGCTTGGCATAAATACAAAGAATTGATGTGATATATAAATATCATTAGAAATATCTAGTAGTCTCACATCTTAAAACATAACTGTTCAATCATTCGAATAAATGGACCCAATTACAACATCCATATTAACAGAAAGACCTTACATATAGCTTATCTTCAATTTTACCTGTAAATATGTAGACAAACGCTAAAAGTTAACGTTTCCTTTTCTACATATCCTGATATCACATAATGTGAAAAAAAGAAAATCTGAAAATAGCTTGAAAACTGTTATAATTTTATTGTACAGGCCAATGGTTACTGAAGTCAGAGCCATAGTTAGGGTGTCCCCTTTTATCCTCAAGATATTTTACGTTTTCTTTAACAGAAATTAAAAGAAAATGCTAATACGCACTTTGGGAAACTGTATTTCGTATTGCTATAACCAATCGGTTTTCTCAGACATTCCTTTGGTACAAATATTCAAAAAAATAATTTTAAAGAGTACATGTTTTTTGAACTGATAGAGCTTTAATGTATATTTGCATCTCTCTCTCTCTCTCTCTCTCTCTCTCTCTCTCTCTCTCCTCTCTCTCTCATCTTCTCTCTTCTCTCTCTCTCTCTCTCTCTCTCTCTCTCTCTCTCTCTCTCTCTCTCTCTC